TTATTATGTATACAATATTCTGTCTGTGTGTATGCCTGCAGGCCAGAATAGGGCACCAGACCTCTTTACAGATGGTTGTGAGCCACCATGTGGTTGCCAGGAATTGAACTCAGGACCTTTGGAAGAGCAGGCAATGCTCTTAACCACTGAGCCATCTCTCCAGCCCTTCAGAAAACATTTTAATTCTCGCCTTAAGCCCAAATGCAGGACTGGAGAGATGACTCAGTGGTTGGGAGCACTGACTCTTCTTCCAGAAGACCTGAGTTCAAGTGCCAGCACCCACATGGCAGCTCACAACTGTCTGTAACTCCAGTTCCAGGGGATGTGGCATCCTCCCACAGACATACATGAAGGCAAAGCACCAATGCACATAAAATCAAAATAAATGAATTAAAAAATAAACCCAAATGCTGGAGGAAAAGTTCTGATGCCATGCATGGCCAATGCAGAAATGAATCCTCTTCATTTGTTAGGAGACGGCTTCCTTCTAGGGAACTCAATTTATCTTCCTTTAATAGTATGCTGTTTGATGTGTAAATGTTACTAGATGAAAAGCAGAGACACAGGGTATAGACACTCTGAACACCATGGAACTTAGCTGCAAACTCATAGGACCTAACCAAGATATATTAAAATAATGTAGTCTATGAAGATGTGGATGCATATCTTTGAGAAAAGTGTCCCCAAGCATGCAGGGGACAGCTGTGAAGGAAGAGGGTTCTAGCACCTTCATTAGGCAGATACCTACTGTACTGTTATCATTATTGGTTTGTAGACATTGAAACCAAGTTCTGAGGCTGGGAAGATGGCTCAGTCAGGATAGTGCTTGCTCTACAAGAATGAGGACCTAAATTCAATCCTTAGAACCCATGTAAGAGGATAGACATGGTGATGCATACTTGCAATCCCTGTACTGGGGAGGCAGAGATGAAAAAATCCCTGGGATTCACTGGCCAAACAGCCTAGACAAATGGGGTGAGCCTTGGGTCCCAGTGAGAAACCTGTCTCAATGAGACAAAGAAAGGTGGACAGCTCCTGAGGAATGATACTTGAGACTGACATCTGAATTCCACATCCCTTTCCATATATACGCATACTCATATACACCAGCACACACGCACGCATGCATGCACACACACACACATACACACACACACACCACAGAAGCACGAAATCGCCAGTATACCAGTACCATCTAAAAGGACATTAGTGTGTACATTGGTTCTTACTACCACAGACTTCATGCTTATTGATTAAAAGAACACAGTGCATTGTCATCAGACTTCAAAACCAGAACACCACTATTTTGGTTAAGGCTCATTTTCTTTTTCTGTATGGATGATGGGAGAACCGCAGTTCAGGTGCCCAAGGAGTCAACCCGATGGGTTTCTCTGTGCTCTCACAATGCACCTAACAAAAGGCTGAAGAAACTTCCGTTTAAATAATTAATATGTAAATTTTGTATTAAGTTGAAGGGTTACCTTCCTGGGCTCCTGAAGTTAGTTTCTGACCCCTGTTTTATGAGAAAAAAAAATCATATAAGATTTCTTCCAGAAGATAAACGGGAGACTTTTAGATTACGTTTGTCTTGATATACTTTGTAAGTTACATTCTATTATTTATTTGTGTGGGAATGGAAGATCACATGCCATGGCTTGGATGTGGAGTTAAGAGGACAATTTGTGAGAATCGTTTGCCTTTTCCACCATGTAGGTCCCAGAGATTGATCTCAGGACACCAGGCTTAACAACAAGGGTCTTTACTTGTTGAATTACCTCACCTGCACCAACGTCTTAAAAAATCTTCGGTTTTGTTTTTGAAACAGGATCTCCCACTCTAATCCAAGCTGACCCGAATCTTCCTCTGTAGCCATGGTAACCTCAAACCCAGGGCCATTCTCTTGCTTTACCCCTAGACCCTGAGATTCCAGGCAGCCGCAGCCTGGATGTCCTTTAAATTAAGGTTTCATTGACACAAGCGTCCTCTCAGACACAAAAACGATTAGTAATCAGCTGTAAACTCAAGACTTCAACTCTGGGCGGTGGTGGCACACGCCTTTAAAAAAAAAAAAAAAAGACTTCAACTCAAGCAGTAATAAAACCATGCTGCCTCACCAGCTAAGAACACAGCAACAGGTGTAATCAAGTTTATAGAATGTTTGAGGTCACTGAAATAACACTTTAATGGGACAAACTGTTCCACATTGGTGTTGTTTATTACATTTCAAAGGCAAGATATTAAAAATCATCTTTAAAGAATTGCGCTCCTCAGCCAGGCACGGTGTTGCACGCCTTTAATACCAACACCTGGGAGGCAGAAGCAGGTGGCTCTCTGCATTCAAAGACAGCCAAAGCTACACAGTGAGACCCTGTCTCAAAAACAATCAGAAACCAACAAGACTGAGCTTCTCACATATTAGACAGCATTAAAATTCAATATCAAAATCCCAGCACTCGGGAGGCAGAGGCAAGTGGATCTCTTTGAGTTTGAGGCCAGCCTGGTCTACAAACTGAATTCCAGGACAGCCAGAACTGTTACACAGAAAAACCCTGTCTAAAAAAACAAAACGAAACAAACTAAAAACCAAAAAAATTATCAAATCTAGCAGAGGTGTGTGTGGGCTGAAAAGATGACTGAGCTGTTACAAGGGCTTCCTGCTTTACCAGAGACCCAGAAGGCAGGTTCTAGCACCCACCCTGGGCAGCTCACAAACACCTACAGCTCTAGCTCCAAGGGATCCGATGCCACTTCTGGCCTCTGCAGGCCATATGTACGCCCATAGACACACACGCACGAAGTCATTTCTTTAATCTAGAAATGATGGCCCTGAAGAAAAGCATCTCATTTTGATTAGTCACAAGGTTATAGAACACAGATCAGTCAGCAGATAAGATATTTATAAACAACAACAGCCCGACTGCTTTGCAAGACTACTACACTTACTCCTCTCCTGAGTACGCGGCACGGCGGCACCGAGAAATCCGGTCGTGCGCATTTGCGAGGATTATTCAGGGATGTGCTTGGAATGCATAGTCCCTGAAAACCATCGCTTGTCAAGAAAAATCTGTGTAACATAAAGCTCCTGAAGTAATAAATTCGACTATTAGGCAGCCCTCTTTTCAGGCAGACTTCTTGTCCTGCCCCTGAACTACTCTCAACATGACCAGGTGGACGGGTGACATGCCTCATGGCTAGGATTTGTCGTGATGTGTCACCTGCAATATTTGTCCAAAAAGAGGAGGGAGAAGATGTTAATACCCGAGATGATGCCACGGGGCCCAGGGCAGGTGTTACTGGCATGGAGGCACCCTCTGAACAGCCACCTGCTGAGCTCTGATGGGATGTGGAGGACCGTATATACCATGAGTACCTCAGCACATTCCTGAACAAGATTCCAAGTTGTGCCATGTCCTGCTGAATGTGGCACCCCCAGAACATGCCCTTCCCTCTGCCTGAAGAATAGTCTCCCTTTCTCCTCTTTTCTGTATCTGACTACTTTCTGTCACCTTTTGAAGCCATTTTAAATGCTACTGCCTCTGGGAGCTCACTGTGACCTCCTAGCGTAGGCTATTTACCCCTCATTTGTGTCCACAGTACCATCCTAGACTTTCCCTGGAGAAATACCATTCACACTGAATAGTGACCCGTTGTTTGCTTTCCCACCTGTCCCCTCATAATCCGGGGGCTCTGTGGGACCAGGTCTCTCAGACTTCTGTATCCCCAAGGTGGAGTAACTTAGAATGTAGTGATGGGATGGTTGAGTGACCTACACAGCGTATCCTATTTCTTCTCCGTTCACTCACATACGCACAGGTGACTTGTGAGACTGTCTTCTGTATGTGAGCTGGGTAAGGTTTAGAATATGGCCAACAGTGGCCTTATTCCCTAACAGAACTTCCCAATGAGAAGAGTTTCTTGAGCATGTTCTGTACGCAGCTGGAACATCTGAAAAGCTTGTCTGGAAAGAGTGAGATGACAAAGACGGACATTCATGGAAAAAGAGAAGGAATCTAGACAGATCTCTCCAAGGCAATGTGGGGCTGATAATATCTTGACCAGAGATTATGAATCAAAGACAAATGTCAGAGAATCTAAAGGGAGGAAGGAATATTTATTGGGAACCAAACAGAACCCTGATGCTACCAAAGCCCCCAGTGAATGTAGACAGGAAATCAAGGGAGGGTGTGAAGGACTTTGTGAGCTGTTAACACACATCTCTATCAGCTGATCTGTTCTCTCCTAAATCTTAGACAATCACACAACAAAGCAATGGCTGCTCTTGGGTGAGACAGACAGGGAAAGTCTATCTTATCAGAGTGGGAGAGTTAGCAGATACCAAGGAGGGCTGTAGGCACACACCCTGGGATAATCTAAGACCCAAGGGCAAGAAAGACACCAAGCACTGATATAAGAAGTCCAGTTCTGCCTTTGTAGCAGCAAAGCCGGCCAGACCACAGCTATGAGGCCTCCTCATCACTCTTAAGAAACAGCGGTCTCTCTACCAGCAGACAGTGCAGACAAGGATGTCTAAAGACTTCCGGGAGCCTCAGCACACAGGTCCTTACTATGCTCACAATACCTGTTGGGCCAGCTCATCTTTTATGGTGATTAATCAGGCCATGATGAGAAAGGAATGAGTGGTCCCTTCTGTGGACCCAGAGGGATCTGAAAAAGGAGAACAACCCCAGCTTGCCTCTTTCTATGCACCTGTAAATTCTACTCAGCAAGGTAGTGATGGCCGTTTTCCAGGAGTAAGGTAGCAAGAGCTCCCTTCCTCTGCTTCTGCCCTTTCTGCCACATCTGGGTCTGAGCTTTCTAGAACCTCTCCCTTCTCAGTCTAAGTTGGGATGGCTGAGCTATTTCTTGAGACTCACAATTTCAGACTGCAATGACCTGGGCTGGGTCTAGTTATAAGCCCTGACGGAGGACCTACTCCAGGAGTGGGCCCACCCATCCTCTACTCAGGTACCACTCTGAGGCTTGTCAGACAGGGAAGTTACCTCCTCGGCCCTCACTGGCAGCCGGCTTCACTTGGATCGGACGACTCATCTGAAAGACACGGGACCAACACACCCATTTAGCATGACTGCCTGGTCCCAAGGCTTGGTTGTTTCTTCCCACTGAGCTCCCCAGTCTCTGAGTACCAGCCCCCTTTGCACTCTGCACCCCCCCCCCGGGATTATAGATTCTCTCCAAGATTGCTTCCTTAAACCCGGATGTTTAGAAAGTGCTGGAACCTGAAGGAGTGGATGGCAGGAAGCTCAGTGGCAAACAGGGTGGAAGCAGTGACCAAAGAAATTCTTCTGTCTTGGACTCAGGGTCCATGTGGTGCCTGCGTCTCAGGCTCCTGGACTTGCATAAATGCTTTGAGTGAGAGGAATTAGGTGGGAGGGTGTAATTGCTATAGCACATTTGTGGTTTATGTCTACAGCTGAGAATATATCTGTGTGTTATTTAGATTAAACAGTCTGGGGCTCAGACATAGTGCTATATACCCCTAACGCTGCCATTTCTGGGTTGTATGATTTTAAGTAAGCCACTGTCTCTCAAATCAAGGAAACGTTCCCAACTGTCTGTGTCATGATAGTCTCTGCACTCACCCCTCCGTCCCCCCAGGCACCCCTTTCCCTGACAGCGCTAGGCTTCTCTAGGCACCATTTTCTTCCTGCTCGTCTCTCTTCCAGTTCTTCTTGGATTGCTTCACCCACACACAGCCCCAATAGCTATCCACAGAGGGGTGACTCAGACCTCTGCGTCTGCAGCCCACATTCTCTCCTGAGCGTCAGACCCATGTTTCCAGCTCCTCGCTGGGCATCCTGGCGAGAAAGGCCCACTGGCACTTCCCACTCAACACACCAGAACCCGAGCTCATCTTTCCACCCAAACTCCATCCTCCATCACTCAGGTTGTAAACCTAGAAAGCAGCTTAACTTTTCCCTCCAACCCGTTCCCTCCTCCATCCAGCTTCACCTTTTAATCCAAGGGTTCCCTGATCAGACATGGTTAAAAATCACCTGGGAACCATATTAGATTCTTAAAATGGGGACTGTAGAACCTGAAAGAGCTCCTAGGTGATTCAATAGATACCCCCACCTTCCCATCCCCCAACCACCCTAAGTGAATTCATGATTGAATCCCCATCTCACCTTCCTCTCATAGGTGTTGTGGGGATCACATGAGGTAATGGGGGTGCAGAAGGTCTTGGTAAACTGCCAAGAGCTGGGTGCGTGGGATGTAAGGGATTGATGTTGGGGGCAGACAGCTGAGTGCCGGGAGGAAGGAACAGCGGCCTTCCTGTTCCTGGAGGAAGGGGTAACTGATGCCCATCTGGCCTGAGAAGGTGATGATCTGACCCCCTCCCCTCAGGAAACGTACTGCTTCTGCACCAATCAGGGGCCACTCCATCCCTTCCAATGTGCTCGTTGCCGAGACAACAGGCAGCTTCCTGTTACCATAGCCACAAGTGCTACCCAGTAACCATGGTAACACCCTGGCAGTCACAGCTGAGCAATTTCTTTGGATCAAATTTTGGGGTGGGAGGGGTGAGGAAGACACGTTTTAAAAAAAAGGAGAGGAAAACAGGCCAAGCCTGAACCATTGTAATCCTCCCTCCCACCCAAGGCTCTGACACACCCACCCTCTGGTAGTGGAGCACCTGCAGTGTACCAGGCTGTGGGTGGGGGCCGAGACACCGACAGGACTCAGGTTGTAGTCTAGAGGGGATGACAGATCAATCCAAGCAGATCAGGGCGAGCTGGACAGGTCTGGACTGGCCTGGACCAGGGACCAGGAGGACAGGACCAGTCCCTAGGCATGGCCACCTGTGAGTGTGGAGGAGAAACCAAGAGACAGAGCTATCGAGAGCAGAGACATGGGGAGTGATGAAGAAACATAGCAAGACAGAAATCATGGGAGAAAGTAAGAGACAGACCTAGAAAAGGGCAAAGCAAGAGAATTACTGGTGGGAATGGGAAGGAAAGGAGGGGATGGGGGGCAGAAAGCAGGTTTGGGGGAGCGAGGAGAGTCTGGTAGAAAGGAGAGGGGCAGAAGCCTTAGCTGGGGGGTCAGTGAGAGTGAGCAAGACCATCATTATTTTATTAGTTCTTAAATAGATCCTGAGAATTTTTCTCTGGAGCCCAGAGTGACGAGCACATGTGACAGCAGCGGTTTCCATGGTTTCCTGGCTGGGTTTCCTGGGAGATGGTGCTCATTGGTGCTCAAGGGATGCTCCTTTCCCTCCTCCCAACCACCTGACCTTTTGATAGAGAGTGGAAACGGGGTGGTATATATGAATTCCTACATGGGCCTGCCAGGGTCCAGTCCTCAGGGGCTCAAGGTCTACACATTCTGCCAGTCGGGCATGCTGCCAACACTTGTAGAACTCTCTGATGAGCCCCGGTGATGCTTACATGGAGACTGCCCTCAGAGCTCACAGAGAAGACCCCCATTTTCTGAGCGCCCACCAGATGCCACGCCTTCCCCTGGGACTATTTATACCTGTTGTCTCCAAATCTTTCTTTTTTTTATTTATTTGTTTTTATTATGTATACAGTATTCTTCCTGCAGGTCTCATTACAGATGGTTGTGAGCCACCATGTGGTTGCTGGGAATTGAACTCAGGACCTTTGGAAGAGCAGGCAGTGCTCTTAACCGCTGAGCCATCTCTCCAGCCCCTCTCCAAATCTTTCTAATCACTCCAGGAGGTCCAGTGTCCCCATATTATGGATGAGAAAGCTGAGGCTCAGGGAGAGAAGTTTATTTGTCTAGGACCACACTGTGGGTCCTCTAAGATTCACTCCACGTCTGCCTGACGGTGAAGCTCCTGGGATTTGTACACTACTGCTCAACTCCTTGGTTTTTATTTGGTTTTGTATTTTGTTTCACTATGTATCTCAGGCTGTCCTGGAGTTTGCTAATAGCTTAAGCTAGCCACAAACTCATGATCCTCCTGTCTCAGCCTCCAGACTGCTGAATGATATGTACCATCATCCCCAGCTCAAGTCCACTGTGCATGTTTGTGCGTGTGTGAAGGTCAGAGTTAGTATCAGGTCTCTTCCTCATTCTATAAAAAGACTTATTTATTTTTATTTTATGTGTGGGGGTGTTTTGTCTATATATATATACATATATATTGCATCATGTGTGTGCAGTGGTGCACACAGAGACTAGAAGATGGCATCATAGATCCCCTGGAACTGTAGTTACAGATATTTGCAAATTTCCATGTTGGTGCTGGGAATTGAGTCTGGGAAGAACATCTAGTGCTCTTAATCAAGAATTCCCTCTGTCTTATTTTTTTCGGGTAGGGTCTCTTACTGAACCTGGAGTTTTGTAATTCAGTTAAACAGGCTGACCAGCAAACCTGGGGATTTCCTGCAATCATGGGATTACAGGAATGATCGTTGCCAGTGGCTTTGTATGTGGGTTCTGAGGGAGCAAGCTCAGGTCCCCATGCATGCACAGAAGCACTTAACTGACTGAACCATATCTCCAGCCCGCAGTTCCATTCTTAAAGATTTATTTATTTATCTATTTGTTAAATAAATCTTAAAGATTTATTTACTTATTATGTATACTGTGTTCTGCCTGCGTGTACGCCTGCAGGACAGAAGAGGACACCAAATCTCATTATAGATGGTTGTGAATCACCATGAGGAATTGAACTCAGGACCTCTGGAAGAGCAACCAGTGCTCTTAACCTCTGAGCCATTTCTCCAGCCCCTCAGTTCCAATTTTAAGCCATGAACACAAATAATGAAACACAGAGGTACCAGGGCCTTGGAGACAATGCAAGGTGAAGAGCTATTAGTGAGGCTGGTTGCAACTGGAGAGGCTGACACAAGAAACAATCCATGAAGGAACAGTGTTGGACCTTGGCCTTGTTGGTCAGAATGGATAGAGATAATGGGAGAGGCAGGGCAAACAGGTGAGCATTCTAGACTGCGAGAGTAGAGATGGAGTATCAGCCTGAAAGGGGAAGGGCTCCAACTCCTGAAGACAAACTGGAACTTCAATCCTGGTAACATCACTGACAACGTCTTACAGTCTATGAGCCTCAGTGTCCTCACTCATAAAGCGGGGGGGGGGGGGGGGGGATCATGGTGGAAATAACAAGAGCCGGATCTTAGTAGGTATACTAGATAGGACAGGTTTTGTCTTTTTGTGTGCCTATGTGTCTTTTTAGCTTTTTAAATTTTTGCTTTTGTTTTTATTTTGTTTTGGTGAAATGGGGTAGGCTGTAAAAAGGATGTCAAGGAATGTGACACAGATATATCAAATGCTGAAAGGACCCAGACCAGGGAGGGACCTTAAGAGGAGGACAGGTGATGATCTGGTCTGTTTAGTCTTAGAAAGCATCTCATGAGTTGTTGTGTGCAGAGAGAGGGTGATAAAGGAAGTGAGAAGAGGCGGGAAGGTCAGTGATGCAGGTGAGAGGTGAGAGTGACCAGGACCATTGGGGAAGGATATGGACAGACCAAAAGATGTTAGGGACAAATGAACTAGACCATAGTTCTGTTGAGGGTGAGGCCGAGGGAAAGGAGGGCACGTGGCTTGACTCTCAGGTTTACAGCTCAGGAACTGGCAGAGTATTTCTTCCCAGACTCTGCGCCTCAGCCCCACAGGCAGGGATTATGGGGAACACCTGAGGTTTAGCATGCTACTCATGGCTGGAGGAGAACGCTGCTCATGAGAGCCACTGGGCAACCTTGCCCTATCTTAGTCCTGCCAAAAGCAGGGGAAGGATCTGGGGTGCACCTTGGAAATGAGGGCATTGACTTCTTAACCACAAACTTGTCCTGAGATTGCAGGTGAGCCTTCACTTGCTTGTTCTCCCAAAGAGTTTCCCAGGCCAGTGTCTGTGTCAGGACCCTGAAGGTGGAGAATATCGGGGAGAAGAGAACAACCTACTCCAGAAAGTGGGATGAGGAAAGTTACCCTGTTCTCTTGACCCAGTAAGCAGAAGGGGAGCAAGGTGTACCCCACTTCTCAGATAGAAGTCCTGTGTTTGGGCTCTTCATTATCATGTTCTGACTTCTATCCCTCACTTAGCGTGCCCTTCCTACAGGAAGGGATTTTTATAAGTATTCCCCTGAGAAGAACTGTTGGTGAGTCTAGGAGAGGTCACAAGGATCAAAGGAGAGTATGGCAAACATCAACACCATCATTTTCAGGGCTTGGTTCTACCATACTTCTTCTTTTCATTTCTTTTTTTCATTTTTTTTCATTAGTATTTTTTTTTCATGACAGGGTTTCTTTGTGTAACAACCCTAGCTGTCCTGGAACACGCTCTGTATATCAAGCTGGTCTCAAACTTAGAGATCCACCTGCCTCTGCCTCCTGAGTGCTGGAATTTAAGGTGTGAGCCACCAGTGTTCAGTTTATCACACTTCTTCTAACCCAGCTCACTATCAATCCCACGAGCTCTAGGGTCCACCTGCGCACCATAAGCCCACCTTTTCCTCTCCATCCCTGCACCACCCCAGCTCCAGAGCAGCACACTCCACCACTGACCTACTCAGAAGCAACATTGTCCTGCAGGGCCACCTTGCTTCCACTATTGCTCCCTTTTTAGTTCAGTCTTCGGGGCTGTAGCCAGAGTAATCTTCAAAGCTTCATCCCTAACTCTCCTTAAAGCTACCCACGACTGACTGGCAAACTCCTGTGTCCCGTCTCCCCTACCCAGCATGCACAGCACCCCCATCCACTCACAGCCACCGCCATCTTTGCTGGGAGGCATCGACCCATCAGTTCTCATATTAGCCTCAGAATTTCAGGAGTGGTCTTTGGTGTTTAGGTTTCCAGACCCTCAGATGTGAAGAAAGCATCTGGTAGCACCCTCCTTTCCCCTACTCCTGAGGCCTCTTGTACATGTCCAGGACTAACTCCAATGGAGTGCAAAGGATTACTTCTGAGCTGGAGCTTCTGGAGGGCCTGACTTGGTCTACGGAATGTAATAGAATTTAAATTCTATTTTCTCTCTCCTCCCAAGCTGTTTTGCACAGGACACAATTTGTGCAAGCAAATACATTCCTCAACTTGGTTGTATCTGTCTCCTTCACAGTGTCTAAAGGGGTAGGTTCCCCCAAAGAAGGGTGGTCATCGATAGGGAGATAGACCAATAAGGGGCACCCTTCTAATCCCAAAAGTGGGGTCAAAATTGGCCTCATTCTCTTCAGGTTGATTCTAGAACTAGGGTGAGGATCCAAGAAAGAGCAGTAGCTTTGTCAGGAAGAGGCTTCAGCAATTGGGAGCGATGGCAGATGGTTGCAGTTTGAAGGAAGTTCTGAGTAGGGAGCTAAGCTTCAATAGGTGGTAGAGACTGGCAGTGGGTGAAAGGAGAGGATCTGAGGGGGGTCTCACTCCAGAACAAACTGTGCTATTTCCCGTGAAGATTCAGGCTTTCTTTACAGGCTTCCTTCCCTTTACTGTCCTGCCAGAGTCTAGCAAAAACGCAGACAGAAGTCTTAACCCTGATTCTCCAGCAGGTGGCGGCTACGCCCAGGACCCAGTGCCTACAGAAGGCCGGGTCCTCTCTGGTGAAAGTTGCTGCTGCCCCTGGCAGGCTCAGAGGAAAGATTGATGGCCTGGCTGTTGCCGGGGCTAGCCAACAGTGCCATTGATTTTCATTTAAGAGGATAATTAAATATTAATTTTCACTTCGTTAAACTGAGAAGGGCGAATAAAGCCAATCCTGGCAGTAGCAGAGGGAAGCAGGCCACACGGAAGGTGTGCAGATAGAAGGGTGGGAGGAGGCACAAGTCCTCAACTGCCGCACTCTCCAGAAGCTAAGCCGAAAGCTAAGCCCCTTCTGCTACCAAGTTAGCTCACGTAATAGTGGGGCTATTAAAAGGCTAGACTGACTGGGCTTGATGACCAGAACGTCTCAAACATGAACTTGGGCAGCTCACTATGAGACTCAGTTTCCTCGTGGGTGAGATCGGGGGGCGGGGGGGGGGGGGGGGGGGACACGTACGGGGCAGGACCCAGTAACGATACCTTCTTTGTATTAAATGACTTGGAACACGTAAAAAGCCATGAATATTGGTGCTGATAACGGCTGCTTACTACTATGCTGCTTTTCTCCCTTAGAATCCTTCCAGTTCTCTAGAGGAACACCCACCCATTCTTATAAAACCCGACCGGTACAGTTCATCTCTTCTGCAGAAGCTTTTTCTCCCAAGCTCATCTTAATTTTCTCAGGGCTTTCCAGGTAAAATCCAAATCCCCCACTTGTTTCCCCTTCAACTGCAGCCCTCGGTGGGATCCTGCCCTCAGCCTGGCCCAGACTCTCTTGAGTCCTCCCCCCCTGCCCCCCACATTCGGCCCATCCGCTTCACACCCACCTGTTTCTTCCAGCTCTGAATTTTTACCGCATTGTTTCCTGCATGGGTGTTCCAGCTTGTCTCGATGCCTGTGCTAGCAGCAGGAATGGTTTGCCCCCACGGTTAGATGAATGATGCTTTCTACGACTGCTCCTACTACTGTTGCTGTTTCAGTTCCTGCTAGTACTAGCAGGAGCTAAGCCATGCCGCAGGCTTGCTTTCCGCTGTGCTCTGTACTTCTCATGACTTAGCCCACTGCCCACACATTCCGTCTGATAGATGAAGAAACTCAGGTTTTATCGTATTTTTGAAACAGAGTCTCACTATGTAGCCCTGGTTGTCCTGAAACGCACTATATAGATCAGGTTGATCTCAAACTCAAGGAACTCTGCCTGCCTCTGCCTCTGAAGAGCTGGGATTAAAGGTGTGCCCAGAAAAACCCGGGCTTTAAACTTGCCCAGGGTCACAGAATTGTTGAGTGCCTGGAAAGTTCCAATTCATAGAGCAAAGCTGAAATGGGCACCTGTTTCTTATTCTCATTGATCTTGCTCTTGACATCTGGGACCATGTACAGAAAATCAAGACCTTTGTCAGGATCTTAAGGCAAAAGTCATATTTACTGGGACTTTCTTACTCCAGCCAAGGAGTTACATTGTTAGTGCAGCCCACTCCCCACCGGGGCAAAAACTGAAGTATGAGTGGAAGGAGACAGAAACAACGGTGAGATTAAATCTAAGTCTGGAAAATAGGAAACCAAGTATTCCTAATTATCACGTTATGATGTGTTCATATTAAAAGCCCATTAAATCCTTTATTTCACCATATATATGTAAATATATATATGCAATTCCTTTGAACATATCTCATAATATTTCTGTGTGTCTTTGTGCCTTTATTCTATCCTGGTCTCTTTCTAAAAGCCAATAATCTCCTTAAGTCTAAAATGGACATTGTCCCAGACTTTTCCTACTCGTGGCATTTGAATATTGCTCTTTTTCTAGACACAACACTCAGATAGGAGAAAATGAGGCTGGGAAGTATGTTTTCCTCTTGACAACCCATGTTAGATCCTAACTGTCACTACTCATGGATGGTTGGTTCTGATTTTCTTTTACCTGTGACCATCTATTAGTTGAGACCAGATCATATAATCCTGGGTGACTATATAACCAAACCAAAAAAAAAAACTGTTTTAACATTAGCCATGTTTTGTAATATGGAGAGAAGATGATTTTGGTGAGACAAGGTACTCCAAATGTATTACAGGAAGAAAACCACAGGAAAGCACCATCCAGGACCACAGGATTGGAGAAGACAGGATACTGACTCAGCAGAGTCTCTCCCCTCCGTTACTACACACATGCTCACAGCAGTGATAAGTAACCCCTGAAACCATGATTTCAGCCAAAGTGGAAAAATCCTGAAGTCTCTTGTGAAAACATAGGTTGGAACACTTGGCTCAAGTGTCTTGAGCCCATTTCTTTGAGCCAGAAGACTGAGTGTGACACGGGGCTTGACTTGCTCAAGGAACACATAATCTCTTTCCTGGGTAGATGACCCTGCTTCTAGCTGCTGGTGCCAGTTTAACCCTTTATGCTGCTTTGGCATGCACGCGGAGCATTGTCCCAAGCTTGAGGTGATTCCCACCCATCCCACCCTCAACCTTGGTTGACTTACCCCTGGCAGGGTCTTCTGCTCGTGCAGTGCACTCTGGGCCTTGAGAGCAGAGTCCCGTGCGCAGTAGGTGAGGAAGGCACAGCCTGGGGAGGAAGAGCCAGGCTCAGGGAGTTTTCTGAAACCCTTCAACATTCTTCTTGGTAGGATCCAACAAACCTAGGGTCACTACTCTGTAAGCATGAATACTGCCCTGTGAAGTGTTCTGTGATGGGAGTCTTCACGTGCTTGGGGACCTATGTCCCAAGTTCTGGCTTCCTCTCATTTTCTCCTGGCCTTCTGTCCAAGAAATATCTGTACCCATACATCCAGTCTTGTGCTCATTCAATCCCACAGCTTCCCTCCCCAGTCCATCCATATAAGTCCTATCAGGGTTAAACCTCCCTAAGCAGCTTTGCCTTCTTCAATGAAGTACCCCACCCCTACAACGCCTATTTATTTTAGACATAGACCTATAGGCTCCAAGGGTCGGTCTCAATTCCTTTCTAATCTAGTTACAAGTGGCAGAAAAAAGAAGAGGGACATGAAGGGTTGAAGGCTAACTACTTCCCAACACTTCCCTCCTGAAGTTTAAAATTTGGAAATGAATTTGATTTGAGCCTTGTTGAGGCTTCCTGTAAGTAGGAGAAGCCAGGTTGAGAGCTTCCTGTAAGGAGGAGATTCCAGAAACTCCCTCATCCTATTCAAGGACCTCAGTCTGTCAAGACGGCCCATAAAGGGTTATTTGTGACCCAGTTTGGACTCCTCTAAAAGAAGTCTAGTTATTGGGGAAGATAATGAGTCTAGGTTGAGCTAAAGAGTAGGGCCTACTATCCCACTGTGTTCAGCTTCAGAATCTGCAGTCTTCTAGAAAACACCGAAGTAGGTATCTTTCTTTCCAATATTCATATCCAATACTTACTTATTTGGTTGGGCATTATGATAGGTTAGAGATGGAGAGAAGTTCTTGGAGATTGGGTGTCATGAGGAGCACCTGAGTCTGTCTCCAAGGGTTGAGGACTATCTACAAGAAGACACTGAGGGTGGGGATGTAATTCAGTGGTAGACTTCTTGCCTAGCATACATGAGACCTTAGGTTCAAACCCCAGCAAACAATAATGATAAAAACAGAAGACACTGAGTTTTCAAGAACAAGAATAGTGAGTCTTTTAGAACCAGCTGAGAAGAGGGGTGTGGTTATTTCAGGTAGAAAGAGTAAAAACTGAGCGAAAATATGATGTGTTGGAGAAATGGAGAGAAAACCAGTATGGCAAAGCCTTGGGAATTCAAGCAGAGAGGCTAGGGAGGGATGCAGGGATTGAGTTACATAAAGCCTTAGAGACCTCAATAAATGTGTGCTTTTCCCTAAGAACAATGGAGGGGCACTAAAGAATTTTCACTGGGGTTGTGACATGATAAGATCTGTATTTTCAAAATGAACCTTTGAGTAGAGGAAGGAGAGGAGGGGCTGAAGGAAGGGCACATGCATGTGGGAAGCCATTAGGAGCTGGTGATGTTTTCTGCTCAGATAGCTAACCAGAAAAGCAAATGAGAAATGTTTTATTTCGTGGTTTTTTTAGTGACATCTTCCATGGAGCTGCCTCCTTACAATGGATGGATTACCTACTGTTTATCGAGAACTCTTAGATAAGGCTTTTCATATCAGTAGGGTAACTGAAGCCAGAGATTTTGTCAGTAACAGGTCAGGGTTTGGGATCTTGAATTACCAGGCTATGGTTGTTTTCAAAGCTTGGTGGCTGTTCCCTCAATACTCAGCCATGAAAACGAAAATGAATCTCTGTAGTATTTAGACATCATGGTTGCTGGGGAGAGAGAGTTGTTCACTTGGAGACCCTCCAAGCTGCCTCTAGATCTCACAAGGCCACGCTTTCCTTGGAGAGGTGTAGGTTGTTTAGGGACCAAATCACATAACCCTGTCTCACACTTATCCATTCTGTCCCAGAGCCATAACATCTGACCTTAGACTGGAAGAGGAAAGGCTTAGGAGTCAGGGTACCACCACAAAGAACCCACGTAGATTGCTCGGGTTAGAAGGTGGAAGAATGGAAGTGTGGAAATACAGAGAAGCATGGCTTAAGGGACAGAGGAGTATAGGGAGGGACAGGAGGAATGAGAGCTTAATGAGCAGAAACAGAGAACGAGGGAGCAGTTTGGAGACTCTGAGCACTCACGTGTTTAAGTGAGAATTGCTGTTATTCCACACACTTTATTCTACAGATCACCTACAAAGATTAGTTTTATGCTTACCCGCTGAATTCAATGTCTAGAAAAAGGTGCCATAAATGGATGGGCAGGAATATATAGACAGGCAGCTGGGCTGCCTTGTAAGGTGTCTGGATGATATGAACTTGTCCTTGTGGAACTTTAACATAACCTCACCCCAATGGGTGGAAGATGTACCCCTACTCAACTGGCCTAGGTCTTTCATGGACATTTTCTCAAAGCCTCCTACCTTAGCACGCCAAGGAATGCTCTGGAGTCTCCAATTGGAAGGAGGTAGCTGTCTGATGCTAGCTCACAAGCCTTCGGGATGGACCTGCCCTGCAAGTCCTGTCACTTTTCTCTTAGAAGACCATGGAGGCTAGTTGGCGACCCTTCCCCCACCAAAATCCTGAAGCCACATTATTTCCCAGTGGGGAAATAAGGACGTTTCTCCTCAAATTATTATTATATGATTCTGGCTCTGTTACTCCAGTGCAGCCTGGACAGACTTTTCTGCATGTAAACAAGTCTCCTCCCTTCTCTACAGGAAGAAAGGGGTGTGGCTGGAGAGGACCGTGGTGCCTCTGTCTTCCTAGGAAGGTCAGTGAGAAGGGTCCCCATCTCCATCTTCCTCATTAAACTAACCCCACCCTGAGAGTGCTCTGGTCTGAAATCAACCAGCAAAGAAAGGAAAACAGGAGGCCGTCAGGAGGACTGAGAGGGAGCAGAGAGCCATAGGAGTGGGAAGAGACGTGAAAAAGTGCATTCACATAAGGGAAAACCTAAGATGAAGGGGACACAGGAAGGTGGCTGCTCCCAGCTGAGGTTGGGATTCTGGATTCAAATCAGAAGTAAAGAGTGTTGGGTTCTGGAAAAATGTATGAGACACCAGGGTTATTGTCACATAACCTGTGAGAGAGCATTTGTCTCTGAGAGTCTCCTGGGAGGTGAGGGGACTGTGTAAATGAGACAGATTTGAATTCTGAAGAAGAGAATAGGGGTGTGGGGTGTTTAAAGCTTTCAGACACAAGAGTTAAATGGAGGCTTTGGGGTTCACTAGGGTTGGAGGCCAGAAGGAGGGGTGCAAGTCCAAGATGTGTGTGAGTGGTTAGGCCTGAGTAGGGTGGCCCCAGAGGGGTCTGGAAATACGTGGGTCCAGGGGTCAGGAGATCGTATATTCCAGAACTGGAAGGTAGAATAAGTTTCCAAATTTCAGGGTTTGGGGTGTCTGAAGGGAGGGATGGTGGAGAGGTCCAGCTGAGAGGTGGGGATGGTTGGGATGTGAGAAGTGACAAGGGATTTGGAGGTTAGAGTGAAGTACCTGTTAGGGAATCGGAGTGATGCTCAGAAAGCGCATGTCAAAGAGAAAATTCTGGGTTTGGGGCTCTGTGACCTGGGGAGGGGTCAGAGCTGAGGTGGGGCAGGTACTGAACTGGGCTGGCTCTAAGGTAGGGCTGGGGTTGGGCCTGCGTTTGGGGCCGGGGTTGGGTTGGGCTGCGCTCTAATTGGATTGGGGCTGGGTTGGGCTGGGCTGGGCTGACCCCGCGCACCTTTGTGGAGGCCGGTGAGCCGGTCCTTCAGCACGGTCAGCTCGTAGATGTGGCCGAACTCCTCGAACAGCGGCTTGAGGTCCTGCTCGTCCAAGCCCCGCGGAATCTGCCCCACGAAGAGCTTGATGGCGTCGTGGTCCTTCATGGGCACCGCGGGACCAGGGTTCAGCCCGCTCATGCCGATGCCGCTGTCCGCGGTGCTGAAAGCCAGGCGCGGGCCGGGGCCGGAGGGCGGCGCAGACCCTCCGGGAGCCGCGGCCATATCCCCGCCCCGTCTGCCCTCCCGCTTGTCCCGCTTGTCCCGCCGTCCCTTCCCCGGACTGCTGGCGAGGGCCTGGGGGAGGGGGCGGGGCCCGGCTGCGAGGGCGGGGGGCTACTCAGGGGGCGGGGCCCGGCAGAGAGCGAGGGGCGGGGCGGGCTGGAAAGGGGCGTGGTCGAGGGCGGGGCGCCTGAGTCCGGCTGGAGTCCCCCTCGGAGCTCTCTGGGCTCCCGCCCTAGCGAGCTAAACCCAGCCCCGAGCCCCAGCTCCCCCCTGACCCCCGCCCCGAGCTTAGTGACGTCAGACAGCTAGCCGGGCCTGTCTACGCAAGTGATTTGCATAATGAGATAGCGGTGGCCAATCAGAGCGGGAGTTGACTGAGCTGGGGCGGGGGCCGGGAGGGGCGGCTGGGCTCAGGCGCTCCAGCTCTCCATGGCAACCGGACCCTCAGCTGCCCAGTATGTGGAGGGTGTGCGGGCGTGGCAGTGGATGGGAAGTAGCTTCGTCATGCGTGGCGATGTCTGCGGGAGTCAGAGCCGATCCCTTCCTGCACACCTCCAACAGCGTGACCGTTTTCTGCGGGGCGGATGGGGCTTCCAACTCTCTGTCCCTACTACCGAAAAGCAACCCATCCTACAGGGCTCCATCACAAACCTCTTTCGTTCGTATCTTCAACCACTTCCTCGCTCCTGAGTATCAAATACACTCACGTCTCTTGCATCCTAAAATAAGTCCCCAAGCACGGATTTCTTTCTCAGGAGAGCAAGAGAACTTATGTAGCCATATTTACTCAGCGCTCGTGCCTGGCCCCTCCTTATTCTGTTACTCAGGAATGTTATCCCCTTTTCCTGAAAAGGATGCTCTGGGTCAAAGAAGTTAGGGTGTAGGTGCCCCTAGCATTTGCAGAGCCGAGGGCAAAAGAAGAAACGGAAGTTGATAAGTTGTGTGTGTTAATATCTAAAAGCTATCTGTCAAATCACAATACTAAAGTGTTTACCTCCCTTTTCACAAGCGCACATTCATAAAGATGAAGAAACGGCGAGCTAGACAAGCAGGTGAAGGGTCTTAATGAACAAGCTTGATATCCTGAGTTAGATACCCAGAACCCACATGGAAAAGCCAGATGCAGAGCCTCGCGTCTGTAATCCCAGCACTTCTGTGGCAAAGATGGGAGGAGGAAACGAGAATCATGAGAGCCATGTAGCAGAAGAACAGAAACAAGAGGGACCCTCAACAACATGGAACGAGAGAACCCACTCCTGAAAGTTGTCCTCTGATCTCAACAACCGCCACATGTGTTTCTTCTGCTGCGTGCACACACACACACACACACACACACACACACACACACTACACACACGAGTAAATTTGTAAACATTTTATGTGTATGAGAGTTTTGGCAGCACACCTGCATGTATGCACAGCATGTGTGTGCCTAGTGCCTTCTGAGGCCAGAAGAAGGTGAATCGAACCCAGGTCCTTTGCAAGAGCAGCCAGGATTCTAACTGTTGAGCCATCTCTCCAGGTCCATGTTATTGTTTTAGAGACAGGCTCTCACGTCATCCAGGCTGGCCATGAAGTCATTATTGAATTGAACAGGACCTTGAACTACTGAGCTTCCTTTTCCACTTTCCAAGTTCTGAGGTCACCGGCACTCAATCTCACGCTGGGCTGAAGATTTGTTAGCTTACGAATCACATATTTTTAGTAGTTTGTGTGGAGTACATCTATTTTTCAAAATTGTGATTTCTTCTTGGTGGAGCAACTTTTTTCTTTTTCTGACAGGATCTTGTCACATAGTCCAGGCTAGCCTCAAACTCATGATTCTCTCCTGCTGCAACCTTCCAGAGCTAAGAAGGCAAGCATGGACTACCATACCCAGCCCTGAACTGATCCCTGCAAGGAGACAAGTACCTGACCACTGAGGTGTGCCTTCCAGCACCACAGCTACATTTAAAGCAGGTAACTTTAAAAATACATATGATTGGGTCTTTTGAATTTAAAAGTGTTTTATTTGTTTTGTGACAAATTGAAAATTAAATATTGGCAACGCTCCACATTGTTCTCTTTTGATATCGTGGTATGTACTCTTTTTTTCTTTAGATATAAACTTTAGAGTCAACTTTTCAATACTCATTGTACTAGTTGGCTTTCTATTGCCAAGATGAAAAGTGTGATCCAAAACAACTTTGGAGGAAAAGAGTTTATTTCAGCTCCCATCTCCTAGGTCACAAGTCATCCATCACTGAAGGAAGTCAGAGCAGAAACCCCGGTCTTGGTTCTGAAGGGCACAGAAGCCCTCCCGAACCTGGCGGTGGTGGTGCACGCCTTTAATTTGAGCTCTCTTGGGAAGCAGAGGCAGGTGGATCTCTGTGAGTTCGAGGCCAGCCTGGTCTACAGAGTGAGTTCCAGTACTGGCTCCATAGTTGAGAAACCCTGTCTTGAAAAACCAACAAAAAAGCAGGGTGGTGGTGGTTCACACCTTTAATTCCAGCTCTCAGGAGATAGTTGCAGGCAGATCTCTGTGAGTTTGAGGCCAACCTGGTCTACAAGAGCTAGTTCCAGGACAGCTAGGGCTGTGACACAGAAGAGACCCTGTCTCGAAAGACCAAAACCAAACAAACAAACAGAGTAGGAACCCTGTGAGGATACTGTTTACTGCCTTGCTCCCACTGCTTGCTTAGCAAGCTCTCTATGCTATCCAGGCCCACTTGCTAGGGAAGAAGATGCTGCCTACAATGGGCTGGACCCTCCCACTTTACTGAAATGACTAGAGACCGACCAATCTGATGAGAGAAATTCAATGAGGCTACCTCTTCCCAGGTGACTCTAGTTTGTGTTAAGATAACAATCACCACACCCATAAAATAGCTTCCTGTAACTCTGAAGAGGTTTGCGTTGCTATAACCACATTGGAAGAAAAAAAATGAAACAAACCTGTTCTTGCGGCCCTTGGAGGAGATGGTCCGGGGATAAAGGTACTTGTCAAGTCTGATAACCTGAGTTCCCTAGAACCCACATGGAGGATTCTTCCCTAGAATCCCACAGTGGTCCTCTGACCTCCACACATATGCAATGTGACATGTGCATACATTCGCCCACATGCATGTGCACACACACACTGTTTAAAAATGTTATTGTAACAATATTGACCCTTCCTATTCACAAACATGAGAAATCTCTATTTATTTGCCTCTTTTTTTCATTTCTTCATTCAAGAGTGGTGGGTATATTTTTCCTTTCTTTTTTTTTTAAAGATTTATTTATTTATTATGTATACAACATTCTGCCTCCATGTATGCCCACATGCCAGAGGAGGGCGCCAGATCTCATTACAGATGTTTGTGAGCCACCATGTGGTTGCTGGGAATTGAACTCATAACCTCTGGAAGAGCAGACGGTGCTCTAAACCACTGAGCCATCTCTCCAGCTCCTATTTTTCCTTTCTTAAATATGTCACACCATTCTAGCCCTTGTTCCTCTGCAGGTGAATGGGATATTTCCTCTGGCTTGTCTCTTGACTCCAGTTCTCCAAGTTTTTGGGTATTTTTTTTTTGTAGTTTGAATATGATATGCTAAGATGAGCGCTGGTTGTTATCTAGTGTGTTTATGCTGCTGTGCCCTCGTCGAGGTTCCTGAATCTTCGATTTGTTGTCTGCCACTAATTTTGGGAAATTCTTTATCATTATTACCTCATTAATATTCTCTTTATGTGCCTGGATGCTTCTGATTATGTGATAGGCATTGTGTTGGAAAAATATTTTTAGAAATAATTGGAGGTTGGGGGAGGTTAGTATTTTCTTCTCCAGAATGAACTTACATTTGTTTCTGGAAGGCATCCAGAATCTCTATCAGTTTGAGATAATCAAACTAAATTTTAGTGATTAAGATGACTCAAAGCTGAGCGATTGATCTATTTCCAACTCACTCGCTTTGGGACTTTTGAGTAGAGAGTTTTTTAGGGTATGTGTGTGTGTGTGATGTGCACTCATATGTATGTGCAGATGTGTGCACCCCTGTGTGTGCATGCAGAGGCCAACAGAGGATGTCATGTGTCCTGCTCTATCCTTATTACCTTGAGACAGGTTTCTCATGGACTCTTGCCCTGCATTGGCAGCAGGGAAGCCCAGTGATTCGCTTGCCCCCAATTCCTCCACAGTCTGGGATTATAACCACGTCTATGGCCATGACTAGCCCTTAAAACAAACAAGCACGGGTGCTGGGGATTCCCACTCAGGTCCTCATGCTTGTACAGCAAGCACTTCTATCCACTGAGATAGATATCTCCCCAACTCCAGAGGATGCTTTCTGAACCTGAGACTACAACTTCTAATTCCCATTCCTAAGGCATTATCTAAAGTGTTTTCCAGAAAATGCTTATCCAGAATTGGCAGTTGTGCCCAGAGTGGAACATTGTCCCAAATGCTAGACTTTTAATGCTGGATCTTGGTCTTTCTCAGATCTCCTCTGAGTCATTTCTCACAGCGTTTCATTGTTCCAGTGTTTCCGAGCCTTTCCAACCATCTCCAGGGGCAGACCTGTTCCCAGTCACCTACTCTATAAAGATGAGAGGTAATAATAGGCTTATATATTTTTAATTTTTAAAATTTTCTTTTTCTTTTTCTTATGCATATGGATGTTTTGCCTGCATGAATGTCTATGTACCACAAGCGTGTCTGGCGTCTTTGGAAACCAGGAGAGATCTTTGGATTCCCTGGGACTGGACTTACAAACAGTTGTTAGCAACCATTTGGACGCTGGGAATTAAACCCAGGTCCTCTGAAAGAACAGCCAGTACTATGAACCTCTAAACTATCTCCCCAACCTCAAGGCTTAAATTTTGAAAGTTGTTTACCTTTTAAATCCTGGATTAAGGTGTGTATGTATGTATTTATATTAAGGTGCATATGTATGTATTTATATTAAGGTGTGTATGGATGGATTTATATTAAGATGTGTATGGATGTATATTTTGCTTAAATTTCTAGAAGCTCAAGGTGTTTGAACCAGGTACAAGCACAGAGCCGAGGTGGTTGAGATTTTTAAGTTCTCTTCTTACTTCAGTGAAGATGCAGTTTAAGTCTTGTTTTTAAATTCATCTCTTTGTTCTATGTTATTTTCATAGGAGAAGTAGCAAGACTAAACAATGGTTTCTAACATTATTCCACAAGAATCAGAAAGAATTAGAAGTCCCCATGCTAATT